GGGCGGGACGGGCCGCTTGTAACTTTCTCAGTGAGAGGGATGGAGTCAGTCAGCCAAGAACACGGCCCGTGGTAAGTTGTCCTTAGTGGCTTCCAGCCTTGAGAGAACGTCACCATCTCGTTGGAGAGTGAGAAGCGTTTGTATTAATGAAAGATCACAATTAGTTGCACGAGATCTGCGCAATCACTGCGTTTTCCCTAATGTACTTTCAGATTGTCCCAAAAATCAGCCCAGCTGCCGCCAACAGTTGGAGCTGAGTTCTTCTTTCAAAGTAGCCAAAGAGTTCGATTATTTAAATCCAAAGAAATAAAAGGGCTGTGTGAATCTCTATCAGTCCTTTATAAAAGTCTGCCGTTTTCCAAGAGCTTTTTTACGTGAACAGCTGCCGTTAACGTGTTCTTTTTCTGTCTTGGATTTTGCAGCGAAGATGCTGAGCTTTTTCCGTCGGACCCTTGGACGGCGGTCCATGCGGAAGCATGCAGAGAAGGAGCGGCTGAGAGAGGCCCAGAGAGCTGCAACCCACATCCCTGCGGCTGGGGACGCAAAGTCCATCATTACCTGCCGAGTAGCGCTGCTGGATGGAACCGATGTCAGCGTGGACTTACCGGTAGTTTGGTTTTTAAATCCAGTTGGCTTGTGTCAATGTGATCACATTTACAAGTGCTCTTTGTTTACAAGTTAGGTAAAGGCATATCTGTTTGTTGTTGCCATTAACTCTGTGACTTGATGTCCACTAAACTACTGGTCATAAAAAGGTGCTGAAAGAGTCGTTAACTTTGTTATTCACTAAAACTAGATATTATTTTGTTAGATATTATTGTGCCTTATATATTGAATGCTTTGTTTGTATGTTAATATAATTGTTCTGCCAAGGCTGAACTTAGAGAGAGTAGCATTTCAGATGAATTGGATTTTCTTTTCAGTGAGCTATGTATGCATCTTTAGAAGGAAGGTAAATCTCTTGGTATAACTCTCTTGAAGAGCAGGGATGAGTAGATGTGCTAGCAGTAATTTCCGTGTGAGTTTTGTTTGTTTTGATTTTGCGTCAGAGATGGATGCAGTTTTTAATGCTAACTTGAGAGAGGAGAACAACTCTACTTCCTTCCCCTCCTCAGGGCAGATGATATAGCAGGGATTGTCTCATAGCATAGTTCTTTATTGGGTGTGAGGTGTTAGCCACTGTTTTACATTTCTAAGGCTCTCTTAATATACACGTGTCTGTTCTGCCCTGCTTAATTGTATTCCTGGTTTTGGCCAATAGGATGAGCAGTAACAATAGAAGTGATGTGCTCTGTTTTTCCATTACTGTGTGTTATAGTTGTTAGTGACTTGTTTTGAGCTCACATAGCTGAGTTAGGAAGCTGTGGGACTGGGAGACCTTCTGACTAGTTCTGTAGGATTTTGACTGCAGAAACAGTTGCACTGACTTTGGAGCTGCTGGCTAGAAAGAGGGTGTGGAGCAGCCACTTGTGAAATGGCTTTTTTCCCCTCCCTTTCTTGTTTTAAGCACAATTCTAGAGTGTTTATAATGTTGGGTAGTCTGAGAAAGGCTCAGCTTGCTAGAGTACTGAGCAGTGTTGTTGACATAGTGAGCAGAATTAACTTGCGATACCCAGAACCCAAAGTAATCTAGAGTTAAAGAAGTAGTTTGGCATCTTTATTTGTGAAATCACTATACATATGGGTGTTTATGGAGGGCAATAAAATTAATTTGTACATCTCTGAAACAACGTAATGAACATATCCAGTGCTGTTCAGTGCCTAGGATGTTTGA